TTTCCAGTAAAGAGTACAAATAAATATATATATATATATAAAATCATATAATGCAAAATATTACTATAGAAACATTAATGCATCTTTATTAAAAAGTAAAATATTTGGCTTGCTTGTTTTTTTTCCAATGTCTTAGGTTGTTGAAACAAACAGAAAACACCTACTGTGTTCTTCTGTAGGCAGTTTAATTATAGAATATTGTGTAATGCTTACTCAATTTGGTTTGTGTTATCTCAAACTGTAGTGCTCTATTTGAAAGATACCCTGTTTTCAACAGTGGTTTTGCCATGTTTATCAAAAGTATGAACTGCATTCTGTTAAAGATCTGTGAACAGGTGAAAACAGAGTAACATTATAATCTCAGTGTCATGCAATACATAAAATATACTGGGTCAGCACTTCAGTGGAGAATCTCTGAAGTAATGGTGATATTCTTGTGTGATAAATGATTTTCCATTTTCAAAATAAACAGTTAAATCATCGAAAGATTAAAGGAATACTTCTGAGTCCTAAATTTATTCAGACAGTTGGCAGAAGACCATAACTCTTTCTTCAGAATAATAATATGCAGACAAACCCACGTCACTTGCCCCATTCATTCCTAAGCATTCAAACTACTGTATATTTATGGTTTTTATATGACTTGTAACTAGTGAGACATGAGAAAAAGTGAAAGGTTGAATTGGTCTTTATTTTTAGCATTTAAAAAACCACTCAATAAAAACAATATCTCACTATTGTTTAGCATGTAGAGATATTTCTTCACTTCCAGAAACATCCTAATTCATTGAATAGACAGACGTATTCTTTTTTGAACATCATAAGTAGGATTATTTGTAGTGGAGCCAGAATTGTGTGTTTGCACTGAGGGTAATATCGGTCAGAAATGAGTAATATATGTTTCCATCATGACTACCTTTCTCACTCTCTCTCAAAAAAAGAAAAATTAATCAGCTTGAACATTTCACATTGTATAGGATCATTTAGATTTCATCATCATATACACTTTTATGACAGATGTGAATGTAAATCACCAACCTACATTTGATATTTTATTAATAGTTCCACATAAATCAATGTCTTTGTTTGATTTGTGGAATAATAAATAACAATAATGAAAATGTCAGGTGTCAGTGTTTAAGATGAGGATGTGTTAGAAATCATTTAAAACTCATTAGGTCATTAACATTTGGCATTCCATACTTGTGAACAGAATGATTTTTCTTAGCATTTTATTGATTGTTCTCAAGCTTTATATCTAATTCTTTTATTTATGACATAATGACCTTTAGACCTTTAAGTCTGACTTTGCCAAACCAAAAGTATCAGATCAAGAGTTGTAATAGAAAATGTGAAGTTTAGTGCTGTTTGTTTGGTTTTATGAAGTTATAAACACTGCAGTGCATCTGTGTATAATATTCTAGAAAGCTATTGCAAAAATGGAGGTGTACATTCTAACTGTATTTTAAAACACAGAGGAAGTGAATCGTCTTGAAGAAGGTACTTGATCCTTTTTTTTTTTTTTATAGAATTATAAAAAGCTCAAGTCTTTGAATTTTTGTCTGTAACATTCTGCAGAAGAAATAGTTGAAAGCAACAAGGCTGATTCAACTCTGAATAGTGCACTCTATTAAATACTTACATCACTGCAAGTTACATCCTTTAGCCAAAAACCTGAATAACTATTTTATACTACCTGAGTGCGCACTGAAGGATTATTTCTTATTTAAAAGCAATGAGTTAATCAGAAATTTAAAGTAGGGTTGGGAACACTATGATGCATTAATTTGGAGGGTCTTCTGTGGTTGCTTTGAAAATAGTTCTGAAGAGTCCAATCTGCAGCTACTGTTGGCCTTTGTCTGCCTAAATTTGCAACTTATTGTCCAGGATGAGTGGAATTCAATTGTTTTCTTTATGGAAAGTACTCGGGTTTTGTATTCTGTAGCATATTACTTGGTAATCACTTTCTGCTTCTGCATGTGATGCTCAACCTCGATACTCTGAATGGTTCTTGATGACTGTGTTTTCTGTTAGTCATTTTAGCCATGGTTAGCCACTGACCACTCTCCATGATTACCATCAACTGCATCTTCTGCTCCACTTTGCCTATCTGTAGCTGTGCTCTGCCTATGTTTGAATGCATTAGAGCCACAAGAGTCCCTGTAATGTTTGAAAAATTTTTGAGTAACACCAAGGTAGGTAGGGCCCACAAAGTATTTTTGCACCAGAAGAAGACTTCTGGACATACCCTCCCTTGCTGCCCAGGGAAGGACCAAAATGCTCTTTGCCTCAGTTCTTTGTCACAAAAGGACAAGTTTTAGAACTCAGTCAGCATCTCTCCACATCCTGTGGCATACCTTCCAGGTGGTTTGACCACTGTGCTTATATTCTTCCAAATTTGCAGTGTAGATGATTTTAGCAGAATTGTTTAAAGTATTATAGAATGTTAACTGATTCTGTTTTTCACTTTTTCTGACATATTCTGGTCAGTCTTCAGACACTCCAATGGATGACCGCCTTTGCTATCCAGGCCTTCATCTCTGGAACTTCTGGGATTGATTCCTTTTTTCAAGATTATATTACTTTTTTAGTGGTACTAACATAATTCATTATTTCAGTGGTTATTTCAAAATCTTTATTATGTATTTTCTTGCCTTTAAAATCTAAACAGTATCATTTTTTTTTATCAGATCTGTTATTCTGATACACTATTTAATAGGCATATTCAGTGAGTTCAAAGCAGAATTTGTGTTTTCAGGCTTCACTCCAACAGTATCCAGAGGATTACAAAGACCTCCTTACAGAAGGTAACATTCAGCAGAAATTCTCTTTACTTGATCACATGGAGTTTCTGTTGCTTTTGTTCTCCTACTGTGTGGTTGGTTTTTTTTTTTTTACCCCTCAGTAAGGGGAGACTGAGCTTTCAACTTTGTCCAAATGAAACAAATTTATCCTAAAATTCATTTTACTGAGGAACTGTTTTTAGACATCAGTTATTTCTTATTATTGTATAAAACACTGTCGATTTTTAAGCAGAATTGGTCATTTATTACAAAAGGCACTCTGTTTAAAAAATGACTGCACATTATGCTTTATTTTATTTGGAAAGTCAAATGCTTTGTGTATTTGTCATTTTACTTTTCTCTCTCAGGTTCAACAGAAAGAAAAATACTTTATAACAACCATATTCAGGGCTTAAGGGAGTGCAAGCATGTGGCATTACTCAGTCTAAAGGTTGGCCAAAGTGGATCTAAATATTATAAAAAGTCCAACATATCTTTGAAAAGTGAAAAGAAAATAAAAATATTTCATTGAAACTTTGTTTTTAAATTCAGTAAATTCATCTTTGAAAATGTTGTTTGAAGCTGATTTATTTCCCTTGACTACTGTTAATTGTTTTGCTTTTATCTCAGAGTCCAATGACATAAATGGGAATCTTTCTCTTGGATTCATGGAATGTTCTCAGATCTCTAGTCCTTTAATCAAATCCTTTATAATTCAAAATGTTATTAATCCCTTGTTTAGGGATTATTTATTTTCATACACATTGTCCTTGAATATGTGAAAGAAACAGTTTCAGAGAGAATATTCGTAATTTTCAGATATTCAATTTCTGGCATATTCTTCATCTTATTATTTTGACCTGCAAAGATTCAGTTATGATTTTCCAAGGAAACTATAAAACCATGTAATATGAAAGTTGTTTAGGGAATGACTCAGTTTAATTCACTGCATACATAGTCTTATAAGCTACATCAAAATTTGCCCTCTGATATTTGTTGAGATTGTGCGAATAACAAAAGCAAATAGACAGTAGAAGATGTTGATTGGATTATAGTGGTGGTAATTTAAATATAGTTAACAATGGTAATCAATCAGCATGTAAGCAAGAGGTGCTTTTTATCCAAACTGAAAAATAATGAAGCTAGCACGTTTAACTGTTTCTTGACTACTATGCTTTCTAGGTGTTCACAGGCAGTTTGATTTCCACTCTGTTGACAAATTATTGTTCTCACTGTCAGTGAGTGTGAAGAATGAACTTCGGGAATAGGCCTCCTGAAGTAAACCTTTCCCCTAAAACAATCAGTCGTCCCATGAAATAGTAGGCTAGACCTTAAAGTAACTTGTTCTGCCACTTGATGATTTTGTGACCCAATCAACTGTGAAATAATTTAAATTTCCTTTATTACTGTCCTCTTTCTAGCTCCGTCTGAAGTGATTTTTTCATTTGATGTTGGAAATGGACCTAGTGAAGTTCAAGTGCACTCGCTCACTTCCTTAAATGACAACCAGTGGCATTATGTGAAGGCTGAACGAAACATCAAAGAGGCAACCTTACAAGTAGATCAGCTTCCTCAAAAGTCTCATGGTGCTCCACCTGATGGGCATATTCGCTTGCAGCTCAACAGCCAGCTTTTTGTAGGTAGGCACCCATTTAACAGAATCTTTCCCAGTTATCATCATGAAAATATGAAAACAAAAGGGGAAAAAAAAAAGGAAGAAAAAAAGATGACAACTGGGTCTTTTGAAAGCAGTTTGTATGATGAGGTGAGAGCCTTTGTGAAAAATCCATGGAGATGTAGCTCTGTTTTGAGATTACAAATTCAGTGTTGTAGCCTATGGTTACTGCTGGACAGGATTTCAACCAATTTTTCTTCTTTTGAGGTTTGTTTGAAGAACAACTAAAGGATCTTCATTTGCATCATTTTTTGAGAGGATGTCATCTGCTGAAGGAAGATGTGTTACTTCTGTAATTTCAAGGAAATTTTGTTGTCCCTTTTCATCCACAGCTTCTCAGGTTGACCAGAAAATTTATCAATGCCCCATTATTGGAAGTATTTAAGGTCAGGTTGGACAGGGCTTTGAGCAACCTGATCTAATGTAAGACGTCCCTGCCTGTGGCAGGGGGGTTGGACTGGATGGTCTTTAAAGGTGGCTTTCAACCCAAACCATTCTGCAATTCTATGAATCTGTGATCTACTCCTCTGTGCTTTGCTAACACATTTAATGAAATAATCAGGCTGTGTTTGCTTAACATTGGAAACAAGAGAAAGGGACTATTATTTGATTTCACACAACCAGGAAAAATCCAGATCTATGGTTTGTTCTGTCTAAAGTGTGAAAGTTTCAAAGGAAGAAGTTTACCTGAATATTTCTGCCTTTGTACTTTAGCAAATATGACATTAATGTATTTAGATAAAACACTGGAAAAGCAGAAATGGAATAAGAAAAAATTAGTTAATGTTTATTTAGCTGTTACATAGAGCTATGTAGAGCTATGTGTTATGTACATGGTAGTGTTCTTACTGTAATATTGCCGTATTATAAATTTGTAAGTTTCTGGTGAATATGCATGGTATACAGTATAAGAGCATGTAAAGTCTGCCCTATTTTTTAATGGATCTTTGTCTATATCTGCTGCGAGATACAACATACTAAATGAATATATGTTTATTTGCTGTGTGTTGGGGAAGAGTGCAGTTAAGGGGAATAGTGTTCTGCAAATGTAGTTACAGAAACTGTGAATCCTTAGGAAAGAAATAAATGGAGAGGGAACCCTTGTATGCTGGGTTGGGAATTCTGACCTGGGCCTCAAAAGGCATCAAGGGTAGAAGATGGAGACTAGACCAAACATTGAAGAATTTTATATTTTGATTAAAAGCATGGAGTTTTCTATAACAAAGAAGATATCTAAGATATTAGCTATAGTGGAGTTTTGAGAAGTCTTAAAATTAGTTTATATTCACAGTAATGGACTAAAACTATTAACGGAAAGAGTAGGAGATTTCTGTTTACTATACTACAATAAATTATATTGCTGTCCTCTTACTTGACTTACCATATAACTTACCATATGAACAGTTGAAATTAGATCCGTTTGAATTTGCAAGATCTGATCTGCGAAACAAGACTAAGAAATGGTCTAATTCTGCAGGTGTTTATGGTAATATCAAGTCTAAATGGTTTTCTAATAATTTTTACAATTAATTGATCTCTAGTTCTTCTAACCCTTCTCCCAAACAGTTTAATGCTGTACTAACCTGTATTGACAGTTGCACTTTCTGGCAATTTTTTATGAAGTAATTGGGCATTGAATAGAGTGATTTTTTTTGTCAGATAAGTTGACAAATTCTAGTAAATTTATATACATACATCTCCTGTATAGAGCTGACAATTTAAAAAATCTTTTGACTTATCTACCAGAAACTGTCTAGCTTGTTTTCTTCAGGTAATGTTCAGGTGAATAATTGTATTAGATAGTGATTCTATTGTTTTGCTTCTGGTGTTGTGAGTTTTTTTTCCTCTCTGAAAATTCTTGAAGATCCTGGGATTAAAATGAAATTACATTCGCTATACTACGATGTACCTTTAAATCCCTTATGAGTTATTTTGAAATAATTTGGAACAGAACTGATTAAAATGGCATTTGTTTAATTTTATTCAGTCAAAACAGTGTTTTTGAAGTGTGACATGACAAATGGTAGTGATTCATTTGAATCATTTGTATCATGTATTTCCTGAGTGTAATTTGTGAGGGTTTGCTATGACTGCAGCAAATTTTTTGGGGTATTCTGTTTCCGCAACTGCAATACTGTCATGTGGATCAATATGACGTCTGGTTTATTTTGTGTTTGAGTTAAACCAGTCTTTTGGATAATGCAACTCTTTGTAACTCCCATTTATAAGATATTTTCATTTCTTCAATTAAATATAATTTTCTTCAGCGGAGGGAATAATAAGACTGACTGTTTAACCATTTCCACGGACAGTCCGCTGGTACAGACTCAGGCTTGTCTACTCAAGCCAGTCAAAGGATCTAGAGAAAAATGTGTCCTAAGAATGACAGTAGCAGAGGCATTCTTTACTTAAATGTCATCTTGTTTACCTAGTACCTGCCATAGTCACCCATCAGTCAGATACTAACATACTAGGACAGTGATTTCTTCAAGCTAAAACACTCTTAACTTCTTAGATGTATATACTCTGGTTTTCTAAAGGTGCCAGAAGAACTAAAACCTAAAGCTGCCATCAAAATGCTCATTTTAGCAGGGATAACATAACATCTTCATATTGTTAGGTTGTTTTGTGCCATTATATCTGTAAGTAACAACAGCTGTGTCAAGATTTTCCATGTAGCACCAAGAATTTTACAGACTTTGAAATAAAAAAGGATGAAAATGGATGATCACACGGAAACATTTAACCAAAGGTTAATTGGAAGTACATGAGAATTATAGTTGGTAATCTTACATATTGTGGAGTATTTTCTGCTTTTACTTTTTAAAAAAGAACAAATGACAGGAGATATCAGAGATAGTTGTGCAACAAAGGACAAGAGAAATGGTATGTAGATTGCACACCTTGCTAAGCTATCAGGATGAATAAAATGCTAGCTGTCAGAAGTATGCTAAAAATAAACAACAGTGAAAACAAATGAAGCGGCAATTGTTGTTAACCTTATCACATACGCTTGGTAGTCAGGTGTATCCCGACCCATATTCCTCTGTAGTGAGGTGAATAAACCTTCCTATTACTCAAGAATGGGCACAGCTTCCAGTATGGGACAAAGTATGTCAGGCCAGACACCCGCTGTGGGGTATCATGATCCATACCATGAAACTAACAGACAGACAGACACACAGATCAGTTGACCAGTCAGGAGGATCTTGAAAGAGTAAAACTGTACAGCTTATGACTTTCCCATCCTTTTAATTTTTTTTTTCCTTTCTTTTTTCCCTTTCTTGTTTGTTTTTTTTTACTTTTCTATTTTTTCTTGGTTTTTTTTTCTTTTTTCTTTCCTCTTCTCTCCTCTCCTCTCCTCTCCTCTCCCTCTCCTCTCCTCTCCTCTCCTCTCCTCTCCTCTCCTCTGCTCTCTCTCTTTAAAAAAGAAAAAAAAAAAAGAAAACCACCTAATTTCTGGATGTTACTCCTTTGTGAATTAATAGAAGTATGCATCATTGCTTGGTATCTGTGCAAAATCCCTATTTCCCATTAAAAGTGTCAAGGGTTTGCTGTAATTACTTGACAAAAAAGAAATCAGATATGCTTTTTAAAGCTATTTGTAAATATTTTCACTTGCATAGGCTTGTATCTTAGAAATTCATAATAGACTGTTCAGGGGTTGTAAAACATAAAGAGTTTTTTACACATCAATTCTTTTAAAATTTTAAAAGCTCTTACGATTTTTTTTCAGGTGGGACAGCATCCAGGCAGAAAGGATTTTTGGGATGCATTCGTTCGTTACAGTTGAATGGAATGGCCCTTGACCTGGAAGAGAGAGCAAAGATAACGCCAGGAGTTGAACCAGGCTGTCCTGGACATTGTAGCAGCTATGGTAACCTGTGTCATAATGGTGGAAAATGTAGAGAGAAATACAGTGGATTCTCCTGTGACTGCACTTTCTCTGCCTATGCTGGGCCATTCTGTAAGAAAGGCAAGGAGTCTTTTATCTTTATCAATTATTGAAAACAGGACCATACAGTCCAGAACAAGATCTTTACAAGCCTTTAAAGATATATTTAAATGCTTGAAAAACATTTATGTTTTACTTAACATAGAGAAACATTCAGCTGAATTTATTCAGTAAGTGTAAATTTCGTTAAACACTGACTTTAAGAGATACATTCACTATACACTAAAGCAGGAACCACGTTACCTGAAAGGATCAGCATCTTTTCTTTAATGTTATGCAACTCCTTTGATTCTTATATTGTACTAAAGCTAGGAACTATACCTTTATGAATAAACTTTGGATTTCTGTATTTCAAGTCTTAATCCCAAAACTAAGACTAAATTTAGAAAACAAACCAAGAAGCAGAAGAACCTTAAAATTCTTTTTACTGTAAGAAGAAAGTGAGATCATCAGAAACAGGACTGAGTCCATGTTTTCAACAATTTTAAAGGAATTCTTTAAAATACTGGTAGATGATTACAAGCCATCAAGTTTGAATTTTAAAAACAGAATTTTATCTAGAATTTTTTTATTTGCATAAAATTCTGATCTGCTAAAAATGACTTGCTTCCGCCACGTATTAAATGCATTCTGCAAAGTACTCAGTGGCTTAAATGTCATAACTCCATGTTCCTCTAAATTAGTGAGCACAACATTTGCACAGCCACCACTGCCACCACAAGAATAAAGGAAGTCCTTCCATATCTATTGCTGTGGAGCTTATGCCACTGAGTGGCACAAACAGCAGAAGAGATTAATGGTCACACTTCATGATCATTATTCTGCAGGGGCAGAGTGGCTCCTGTTGCTGAAAGTGCGGGATGACCTATAGTAATAACTTCCAGTCACCTTTTGTCAAAGATACTGAGCCAGATTACAGAAATTTCCAGAAATATTTCTGAAGTGTGGAGGTTGTGTGTGAAAACAGGGTAGTCTAAGACAATTACTTTTAGCAGAAAATGGCTGTGAGATACCACAGTGATACAAAAGCCTTCTATGAGTGATTCATCCATAAGAAGACCATAACCCAGTTTGTATTCTCCTTTTCTTTCTCCCACCTGACCAATCTCTTTTCCCAATATGTGTTTCAGGTGTGGCCAAGTTTAATCAATATGTTAGGATTCAGACTGCTGCACCCATTTTTCTATAGGAGCAGTATACATACAAGACAAGACATATTGGGCTTGAGGACAGGGACAAACAAGAAAAAAGAAGAAAACATGTTTAAAACTAGACAAAAAGAAGCACTCCTTCATGCAACAGATACTTAAGACGCGTCTAACTGGGCTTTTGCTCTAGCCCAGGTTGGGTCTTATTTTTCTCTATAGTTCTCAATACTAGTTCCATTTATATTTCTTTTTCAGCTTTATCACAATAGTTAAGAATACATTTTATTTTGTTCTGTGACAGAAAGAAAAAATAAAAGAGCTTTAGTCTTGTTTTGCATGATATTTAAAAGCTGAATTACTTTTTGTTTCAGAGATCTCTGCCTATTTTGGGACTAGCACTTCTGTGACATACAATTTTCAAGAATACTACACCTTAGCTAAAAATTCCAGTTCTCATGCTTCTTCTTTCTATGCTGACATGACACTGAACAGGGAAGCAATTACGTTTGCCTTCCGAACAACACGGACACCAAGCTTACTGCTTTATGTCAGCTCCTTCTACAAGGAATACCTCTCAATCATTCTCACCAGAAACGGTGAGTTTTCAGATAGGTTGTCTGGAAACACTAATGAACGTCATAGCTGCCAACTCAGATTCACTTTGATTCCCAGACCTGAATCACAAACTAAGCATTGTCCTGTTGTTGCTTTAAATGGTGTATTTATTTTTCAGCTGCACCAAGCAATGCTTTCCACATGAAAAACATTTCTCCTACTGTAATTTCAACTTTTATTACTGGCAAAAATACTTATTTCTGGAAATCCTTTAGAAATGAAGTAAAATATTTCAATTTTTTTTTTTTTAAGTTTTGAAATGAAACTCAAAATGTATCTGATCTGTCTGCTACTCACACAGCATATTAATTGCCATCCTCATGATAAATAATTAAATAGACTACTTTTTGAAAGTGCATTATCCATTTTCCAAATTAATCAGAGGTCATTTCGTTCAACTAATTTAATAAGCTACCTATATATATACCTATGAAAATACACATAAATACCCATGAAAATACACATAACGTAATTGATGTTTCCATTTAAGATGAATATTAAATGTTAGTTGGATTTTTCTTTTTCATTATTTCTTCTATGTCTAGATAACTTTTTTTAATTTCTTTTTTTTTTAATTAAAAAACCCCACAGACTGAGTTGAATCTTTGAGTTTATCAAAGACTTTGCAGTCACAGTGGTTCTGTGTTCAAAGAAGGTTCTGTGCTTTCCCAGATTTGGATGTAAAATAACAGTATGTCATCATGTGAGGTGGAACATGTTTTACTCATGACTGGCCTGGGTCTGCCCTGGGCCTTGCTTTCCAAATGATGAGTAGAAAGTTGTAGTCCACCTACAGATGAGAAGGAATCTCTGACAAGAACACTACCTCTGTGTTCTGCTGTGAAAGAGTCTGTGTGTGATTATGTGCATACAGACAGCATGCTGGAAGTTAACCACAAGAAATGGAAAGTGAGCTAGAAATTATTAACTGCATCCTACTGAATTGTCAACTGGTCAGAGGTTTACAGGTCTAGACAGTGTAAACATTACATCGAGAACAATACTTGTAAGGTAATAAGTTTTATTTGGTAAGTCACATTGGTATGAGCTACCAGACCAAGTCTTTCTCAGATGAGTTATAAAAATACTTAGTAAAATTTCTGCACAAATTTTAACTCATTATTCAGATTTGTGACAGTTTATGGTTATCTTTGCCACTACATACTACTTCCAACATTGCTATTACTTTTCTTGTTGCCTTCTTTCATTTCTCACTTATGTCAATTTCTCATAGTTAATTCCTTAAATAGATCAAACATTTGTTTTGCTCTTCAAATGCACCTGTGAAGCAGGAGGCATTTTATACGATTCACACTGCCTGTTGTGTATGTAGTGCACTATACCATTTGCTCTATTTATCCCTGCAGGAAGTTTACAGATCAGGTACAAACTAGATAGCCATCAAGATCCTGATGTCTTCAGTGTCAATATCAGAAGCATGGCTGATGGACAACTGCAACACGTGAAGATTAACAGAGAGGAGGAAATGCTCTTTGTAGAGGTAATTCAATTAGACAAAAAAAAAAAAAAAAAAAAAGGTGGATTATCATAAAAAAGTAGAAGATCCAAAGCAGAATGAAGTAAATAGTTACAAAAAGGCAATTACCCCCAAATGAACTGTGTTTTAATATCTCAAATAAATAATGCAAAGGTTAGCAGACTGATGATGCACGGTGAAAATCTACATTAGACAATCTCTTTGGTGTTCATCTTGTTTATTTCAAAAGGTCAATACTTCCTCATCATTTTATATGAAAACATGAAAATGCAATGAACTGTTTGATGGTTAAATTTTCACAATTTGTGAAATGTGTATGACTGCTGTCATTTGTTTTGGGTCTTGCATTTTGTTTTTTGTTTCCAATTACATATCAAACTACAGTACAAGTATATTACCATCTAAATAATAGTTTAAACCTATTTGACTAATTTTCTTCGGTCCCTTTTACATCAAAGGAATGTGACTACTAAGGAAAAGATTTTGTGTTATTTTTTGCAGAAATTTGGTGATAAAATAGAAATATTTTATTTGCTAATAGTAGATACCAGCATGTGTATGTGTCTTAATTTTTTAAATTAAAATTTAAAAACCCTGGATGTTACAAGTTAGTATTTTGAGGCTACAGCTCAGTTTGCTTAATTATGCATTGGTACAAGGCTTCAAGGCAAGTAGTTCTAGAGGTACCCTGGGGGCAGAACAATTACAGTATAATATTTTATCTTTATGAACTAAATGTTGAGTGCCTTTTTTAATGAAAAAAGCCTTTTTCTTGTTTTTGAAGGTTTACCATTTTTATTCATCTTATAGATGAAAAAAGAGGAATCAGCCAAATCAATAAGATAAATAAAGGCTTATTAAGTGGGATGCTTAAGAAGTATCACAGCTATAATCAGTGATCTGAGGAAGCTGATAATTTATTTCCTGTTAGTTCTTATGCTATAACTAACAAATGCTTCCCTCAGCTCCTTCTATTTTCAATCTTATCTTATCTGCTTTTTTTGCAAACTTTGACTAATACCTCTTCCATTATTCTACTTTGTTCTTCACCGCACCATTTTGCAGGTTAACCAGAATGAAAGAATGAAGTTTATTCTGTCTTCAGGCACAGAATTCAATGCAATCAAGTCTCTCACACTTGGCAAGATTTTAGGTAAGTGGAACACCACAGGGTTTTCTAAAACATAGAACAAAATATCATCACAGCACATAAAAAATAATAACCTTAATCTCATTGAAAGACATTCGTTGTCTTGGTAATTAGACACTGAGTCACAATCAAGGTAGAAACTTCAGTCTTGTTGAAATACAAATATAATCATGGGTAAGTACTTCCTGAAAAATGATCAAGTGGGTTCCATTAAAAATAATTTCACACTTCTCTCTCTCATTTTGCAATCAAGCATTATGAAACACCACTTTTTTTTACTGTCAGGAAAAAATAAATTACTGTGAAATCATACACAAAGATCATAGAATACTATTAATCATGTACCATATTTGAAAAACTTTCTGTGATTAGATTTTGATGTAAACAGTTAGGAAAAAGGTACTGTAGGCAGAAACTTTGTTGGAGTTACTTTTTGAAAACAAGTTAAGCTATGACAAAATATTTTGTTTTCTAGCGATGATTCATCAAAAGACGTCTGTTTCTCTGTAGTAATGATCAAAATGGAATTTACCTATCTACAATTACCATTTTGTCAATTTTGCTAAATAAAATAGCCTGACCTAAAATTCTCAAGATTTGATTATTTTCATATGCCTCACATTGCGTGTCATGGTTTAACTTGACAGGCAGCCAAAC